TTTACCTCAAGTACAAGATCTGAGTAATTCTTACTTTTACTCAAGCTACAAGATCTGAGTAATTCTACTTTTACTCAAATACAAGATCTGAGTAACTTTCTACTTTTCCTCCAAAGTACAAAGATCTGAGTACTTCTACTTTTACTCAAGTACAAGATCTGAGTACTTCTACTTTTACTCACAGTACAAGATCTGAGTACTTCTACTTTTACTCAAGTACAAGATCTGAAGTACTTCTACTTTTACTCAAGTACCAGATCTGAGTACTTCTACATCTAATTTTTACCTCTCCAAGTACAAGATCTGAGTATTCTACTTTTACTCAAGAACAAGATCTGAGTACTTCTACTTTTACTCAAGTACAAGATCTGAGTACTTCTACTTTTTATCTCAAGAACAAGATCTGAGTACTTCTACTTTTACTCAAGGTATCAAGGATATGAGTACTTCTACTTTTACTCAAGAACAAGATCTGAGTACTTCTACTTTTACTCAAGAACAAGATCTGAGTACTTCTACTTTTACTCAAGTACAAGATCTGAGTACTTCTACTTTTACTCAAGAACAAGATCTGAGTACTTCTACTTTTACTTCAAGTACAAGATCTGAGTACTTCTACTTTTACTCAAGTACAAGATCTGAGTACTTCTACTTTTTATCTCAAGAACAAGATCTGAGTACTTCACTTTACTAAAGTACAAGATCTGAGTACTTCTACTTTCTACTAAAGTTCCCTCAAGTTCAGGACTGTGAGTTAAAAGTACTCTGGCCTTCAGTGTGTGCTGAAAGAGGAGCGTCGGCTGAAAAGCCGCAGAGAACACAGTGAAGGCAGCAGGACCTCCGGGCCCGAGAGGAGAGACGCTCCACGCTCACTTCGAACATCAGAGTCAAACGCTTCGTGGCATTCAACGTTCTAACATTTGAGGGTGTTTCGTTTCTTACGGGGCTTAATATTGACATTCTTCCTACTACTATACTGCCTACATTGAGTAAACATCATCCGGTAAAATGAATCTTTTACTTTTCCAAACTAATGTCCTGTTAAAATAAGATATGAATCCTTCAAGAGAAAGAGCCCGAACAGCCGAGAGATGAAATGAAGTCATTAATGACCACAAAGGAGAAGGAAGCACAGAAAGGCTCTCTGTTCGGACGCAGAGGGAATTCCTCTGGTGGTCTTTAGAAACGTTATCACTCCTGTCTGTGAGCAGGTCGCTAAACTTATACTCACACATTATTTCAAGACCAAATTGTGGAGAAATACCCGTTGCAGTGAACATATTGGAAAGCAGTGAAAACTGTCCTTTCCTCAAAGTAACGGGAAAACACAAGTAAAGAAAAGAGAGCTGGAGAAGAGAGCCATCAAATAACATCTAAATAAAGAACTCATATTATTAGACAACAATAACAGCTGGTATGTCCACACTGAGGACCAGCTGACAGCCTGGGGACACTCAGAAACATGTCCAGCTCAGAGAGCAGCTAAAGCGAGACTCTGAGCCTCAACATGTCTCCGGCTGATATCACACTGATGGAGGAATCCACCACACGGATAAGAACTGTTGAAAAGATAAGAGTCAAATTCATCCTGAAACTTTCTTCTTTGTTCGCTTTCTTTCATTTGGTCAACATAATAGCTTTCTGAATAAAGATGTACGTGGAGAGGAAGACTTTCAGCATAACGGGAGGAGACGGATTTATCTACACGATGACATGGTTATCATCTTTCTGCACAAGGTGTTGCATTTCAATCCCAATTAATGTCGTGTTTCCACTTCTAAGTTCAATTTATTTCATTTTACTTACAATTTTTATTCTTTTCACCCTTTTTGACGTTTCCTCTCCTGATTTCACTCAGGGCGTTTAATCACCTTCATCTTCCCAAAAGCAAACCGCTGATATTTGTAAACACGTTGTCCTCTCCACCAGCTTTGAGAACACTTTCATGATCAATCATTATAAAACATATCATATATATTATTCTGAAATGGACCAATCTGCACAACGACTACTTTTACTGTCAATACTTTCACTATATTTTGATGAGAATACTTTTCTACTTTCACTTGAGTAACATTTTGAATGCAGCACTTTTACTGAAACAGAGTATTCCTACACTCTGGTACTTCTACTTTTACTCAAGAATAAGATCTGAGTACTTCTACTTTTACTCAAGTACAAGATCTGAGTACTTCTACTTTGACTCAAGTACAAGATCTGAGTACTTCTACTTTTACTCAAGTACAAGATCTGAGTACTTCTACTTTTACTCAAGTACATGATCTGAGTACTTCTACTTTTACTACAAGATCTGAGTACTTCTTCTTTTACTCGAGTACAAGATCAGAGTACTTCTACTTTTACTCAAGTACAAGATTTGAGTATTTCTACTTTTACTCAAGAACAAGATCTGAGTACTTCTACTTTTACTCAAGTACAAGATCTGAGTACTTAGACCTTGTACTTGAGTCAAAGTAGAAGTACTTCTACTTTTACTAAGTACAAGATCTGAGTACTTCTACTTTTACTCAAGAACAAGATCTGAGTACTTCTACTTTTACTCAAGTACAAGATCTGAGTACTTCTACTTTCACTCAAGTACAAGATCTGAGTACTTCTACTTTCACTCAAGTACAAGATCTGAGCTACTTCTACTTTTACTCAAGAACAAGACTGAGTACTTCTACTTTTTACTCAAGTACAAGTATCTGAGCTACTTCTGCTCTTTTACTCAAGAATACAGATCTGAGTACTTCTACTTTTACTCAAGTACAAGATCTGAGTACTTCTGCTTTTACTCAAGTACAAGATCTGAGTACTTCTACTTTTACTCAAGTACAAGATCTGAGTACTTCTACTTCCACTCAAGTACACGATGAGAGTCCTTCTCCTGTTGCTACACAATGAGAGTCCTTCTCCTGTTGCTACACGATGAGAGTCCTTCTCCTGTTGCTACACGATGAGAGTCCTTCTACTTCCACTCAAGTACACGATGAGAGTCCTTCTCCGCCCGCAGCCTCACCTGGTTGCTGGAGGGCCCCATGGTGCAGCAGAATGAGCAGATCCTCCGCAGGCTTCCAGGATTCAGACGAGGACAGAAAAAGAGGTGGCTTAGCGTTCCCCAGATGAGCTCTCCTCAGAGTCGTCGCTCTGTCTCAGGAGCCCTCGGGTTCCCAGGCTCTGACGGGACCCTCCTCGTCCTCCATCTCTGCGTCTCAACGGGGTGAGAAATACCTGAGGCACAATCCAGGAGCGCAGGGAGAGAGCAGGACGGGAGAACAAGAGACAACATCCTTTGCTCACAACCTAAGTCTTGCCCAGTATGTGTGTCTGATATCAAGTCAGAATTCGTCTCTGATATGAGACACAATCACTTCAAAGTGACACTGCAGTGAGATACAGGTCTTGTTTTTAGACAATGCATCAACTTGTTAAGCCAAAACATCGTATTTTGAGTTGTATCTCTCAATCACCAGCTCGCATCAGAAGACCTTTTGAGCGTTGGCGGCTCATAATGTAACATGTCCTGATTCTGGTAACATATGGTTCAAAATGAGTTCTGATAATTACAAGATCTGATTTATCTATCTTCTTATTTCAAGACATCTTACCAAGCACATTTCCACTTCGACTTTTGCACTTATGTCAAGTGAGAACAGCTTGTTTTCATTATTGTTTACCTTGTTTTTGGAGCAGCATTGTTTGCAGTGAGCCCACAGCAAACATGTCAAACCTTGCCAAGTATATCTGTCTATTTTCTAGTCGGAATACGTCGTTACACTTGATATGAAACCTAATAAGTTAAGTCTTGTTACTAAGGCATCGTTTGAAGTCAAAGTCTCTTAAAAACATCTTATTTTAGAGCAGGGGTGTCAAACCCAAGGCCCGGGGGCCAAATCCGGCCCGCGACCTAATTTTATGTGGCCCGCAAAGAATATAATATACAATACATCCGCAACACTGACTCTCTCTCCATTTTCAAATCACGCCTCAAAACATATCTCTTCACACTCGCATATCCACCCTGATCATGATCCTTCACACATCCTCTGTTTTATTGATTTGATTTGTTGCATTGTCTTGTTTATGTTTCTTATGCGGGTGTTAGGTATTGTGTATCTTGTTTTTTATGTGTTGTACGGCGACCTTGAGAGCCTTGAAAGGCGCCTATATAAAATAAATGAATTATTATTATTATTATCAATACAATTGGTGTAATTGTTGAATATTTACTTTCAATGATTTGCCCTAGACTTCTTCTTTCAGACGTATTTAGGAGGATATTACCAGATCTGATAATAACCCAATGCGGGGCCAACAATGTAATATAATACATTATTTAATATGCATTATATATTTACATATTCATATTTATGTAAATTACACCGGCCCTTTGAGTGCAACCATAACGCTGATGTGGCCCGCGATGAAACTGAGTTTGCCCCCCCTGTTTTAGAGGAACACCTCCACTGACATCAGGAAACAGAATCTGAGCATTTCTGGCTTTTGTTGCTACAAATTCCTGATTCTGGTCAAATATAGTTCAACATAAGTTTCCCCAGCGAAACACAAGATCTCTGTTATCTAATTATTCCATCTTTACTTCAAGAACTCTCACCACGCCATTTGGTACGTGTTCTATTGGAAATAGTTCTATAGGAAATTAAAAACATTGTTCGTAGACAGAGGGTATAATCTGAGAGGAAATCTACATTTGAAACTCGAGGTCAGAACAACTCTGAGAAGTATGAGTTGCAGGAGTTCAAACAAAGCATCATTCAGTTTAAAAGGATGCACAGAAACACTTTTTGGGAAAACTATGAGAATGAAGAAGATGATTGAAGATGAGAAATGATTGTATATGTTTGTATAAATGTATGTAGGAATAACTTGCATAATGATTTAAAGGACAATCATTGATCAAGTAAGGGGTGGGAATTAATAAGCATTTGCTTCCTCCCTTTCGGACACATATGATTTATTACAAATATGACCATGAATGTGGATAAATACTTTATTATAACAATACGGTATTCTGTTTTTCACATTTGTTATTTTTTAATCTGTTCGAAATAAAGACTGAAAATGAAAATATTGGCGTTATTAAAAGACTATAAGCCGAGTACTTCTTCCACCTCTCATCCAGTAACTCCATATATACCGTTCTGAAATGGGTCTGAGGGACAACTAGTGCTTCCACTTTTGGTCATTTAAGTATAACTTGATGCCAAGACTTGTATACTGCAACATATCATTCTCAATGCAGTACTCTTACTTAGTATTAGTACATCGATTCCTTTGCCTTTTCTCACTGGTTGCAATTTCTACACATCAGAAACCCATTTAGAATCATGATAATGCAACCAGCTTGTTATTTGAAGACGCTTAAACACATCGATAGATAGACACACATTTAAATAGGAGCTTTTTTGAATAACTTTAAAGTGATTTTTGAAGCTTAAACGAATAACATTTGATGGTTCAAACTCCTAAAATGATAACATCTGCAGCTTTTACTGTTCATAACAAACCTGTAAACAGAATATCTTTGATGATTTCTCCCAAAAAATAAATTATAAAAATAACCATCAGTTACCGAGCTAATTTTTGAGAGGACTGCACGTGAAAACTGAAAAACAAAACTCACATACGTTCACAAACTGTACAGAAGAGAATAGCGAGGAACTTCAGCATACCATAAAGGAATCAAACATCATGTATTATTAAAACATTCATATTTTCAAAACCTCTGAAACCCAAATTTCTGATTCAAAGACTCTCCTCGGTGAAACCTTGAGTCAACGCTCGAAGCACAAACGAAGCGTGACCTTTGACCCCGGGTTAGACGTGTGTCAGCTATGACACCCAAGTCCTAAATTCCTCTCGTCTGCAGTGGTACTCTCATCCAATCAAAAGAGAGGAGGGCGGGGCCTGTTGGTGTTCATGTAATAACTCTGTGAACACTGGAATTGAGGAGCAAGTATTAAAACAAGATGGATTCTGTTTGTTAGCGGATAAAAAGCTCAAAACGTTGATGTCCCGAAAACTTTATTATTCCCAAAATCCTCGTATTGAATTTCAAAAGTTAAAGGGGCCGCATTTTCTTCTTTTTTGGGGGGTTTCTCTTCCCTGTAGTGTGGTATATACATTTCTCTGCATGTAAATCTATGTGTCCCGTCCCCCCCCCGATGACTTTGTATGCTGACCCTAAAGGTAGCATCACAAAGGGGTTCCTCGACCAAAATCAATGGGTTTCCACATTGGAACATAAGCTCTGTGGTTAACACACATTCATGATACTTAACAGCGTATATACTCAGCAGGATAACGTCCTCACATGGGCGGTACTTTGTGCTTTCAGAAGCCTAGATGCAACGGCCAGAAGTACAAAGCTAACGTTAGGCTATAAACAAACTAAAGGCGGACTCATGTCGACAAAATTAAGTTTTCTAGTGACTTTCAGTCCCTTGTTATTTGATCACACATAGAAGCTGCTGACTTTCATGAGTGGGGTATTTAATGTCGTAGAACAAAGTGAAATCTCTTCAGGTGTGTTACCCACAGACCTTATTTCCAGGGATCTGAACAAAAACACGTTCAAACAAACATTGGTTCGAGACGAGGGAACAGGAAGTAGTAAAAAGTTAATTTAGGGTGTAAGGACTTGTTTCTGCAACACTCAATTGGTCTCTTGTTTACTTCTGAAGTACAGAGCCGGCCAGCTGACCAATCAGAGCAGACTGGGCTCTGGTTTCAGACGGAGGGTGAAAAGAGCTTTTTGAACATTAAAGCATTTAAACATGTCCCAGTAGAGACGCTACATACTGATATGAACCTGGAAATGCAGAATAGGGCCTCTTTAAACCACGCGACCTGTTCGACCTGTACGCTACGTTGACCTTTGACTCCTGACCCTGCACTATCACTTCTCCTTCTCGTCTTTCTTCTTCTTTTTCTTCTTCTTTCGGTCGTGGTGGTGGCCGTCGGGGGAGCGGGAATCCCTTTGGGAACGAGACATGAAAAAGATTAAGAGAAGCTGTTTTCACTTCAGAAAGAAAAGCCGCGTTTACAGATCAATGACTGTTGCCGTATGTGTTTTTAAATATCTGCTCTCAGGGAAATACAAAGAAATCGTTTAATCATCTATGTCAGTGGTTCTCAACCTGGGGGGGCGCCAAATATCGTAGGGGGGGCGCCAGGCCTCAGATGATTTGAGGCCAAATATCATATTTAGCCTTGATTTTTTGTGGTTTTTTTTACATATAATTTTAAAGCAATACATGATTGTCACTAAAAGCCTTGTCTCTACATTACAATCAAATATTAAAAATAATTGATTAATTAATTTGAATAACAATTCAAGTTAGTAGCTAAAGGCATAAAAAGACCGAAATGTATAATTCTTTCTTTAATAGAAATGTTTCTTCTGCCCGTAAAGTGTCCAAACCGGGCTTTTCTGGATAAGCCCATTTTAAAACATAGTCATTGTCCATGCCGGTTTCAGTTGGATTATTTGTCACAGTTGCTCCGATCAGATCGGTCTCCTCCATTTTGTAGATTATTTACGACTTTTGAATCCACATAAACACATCGGCAAAATCCGGCTTACTTTGAGCATGTGTTTTAAACAGTTTAATCCCTTTGTGTTTCCACTTGCGCCGTCCTTTCATTTCTTCATACAGCGGGAATCCAAATGAATTAATCCTAAGTCCAATAACCATCAAAGTCACTCCAATAGTGCTCCTTAATTATGCTTTCATCCTCCTTTAACAAAATACTTCACATTCATCTAGTTTGTGTGTGTGTGGGGGGGGGGGGCGCAACTTACAACAGGAGTCATTTGGGGGGGCTCTTGGGAAAAAAGGTTGGGAACCACTGCTCTATGTCACACAGGGTATTAGAGACGATTTATGGATCGAGGAAAGGGGGGGTAATATTATCGGGGCAAATGTGCGAGAAATAGTGAATGTTTGGTACCACTTTACAATAAGACTACCCAAAGGATTGATAAAGGGTTTATAATTAGGTTATTAATTAGGTTGTAAACACTTTATTAATCATTAAGAACCATTTATAAACCAGTTCTAACATAGTTTGCATACATCAACACAGGCTCACTATTTGGCAAGATGACTAAGCCTTATATTGGCTACTCAGCGAGAATCAACTCAAGTGAACAACAGATACCAAGGCCGTTTCTCAACCTCGAGGAAACTGGCTTCCAAGCCAATATTTCAAGGATGCTACGTCATCGAGTGCCGCCGAAGGACTGTTCCAATCTCCAGCATACTTGGAATTCCACGAGGCCGCGTCCTTGGTTTGGGGGAAATTTCGAGGCTGCACATGGGTAGACTTCGCGTCCTTAAAATCCCCACAATGCTTTGCGCACGGACCAATTTCAAAAACCCTTGCGGAGAATGGCTGAACCGACACAGCACACATTTAAATGCAAGTATGTAGTGGCGTAGAACATGTGTTGGTAAATATGTTACTTTGTTATCACCAAAAATGTGTTCCGTGAAAGTAAAGCAAGTTCATAATTAGATAGACATCGTGAGGTATTTATTTTCGGTACAGTTTATGTTGAAAACGTTAGAGAGAGTGGCACACTTGTTAGCCTGTTCCATTCTTCTTCTTTTTCCGAAGACGTGGCTTGAAAGCATACTGGCTTCGTTTCTGAAGGAAGTGACTTGGAAGTACACGACTACCAAGCCAGCATCCTCGCAATTGAGAAACGGCCCAAGGATGCTGGCTGATGAAGGAGACGAAGGTAGGTAGCCAATATAAGGATTAGCAGTACAGATAAATGTGGGCTCACTATTTGGCAAGCCACCGGTCACAGTCGCCCTGTTTATCTCATGCCTTATAAAAGCTTATTAAGGATTTATAAAGTGTTCACAACCTAACTAATAAATTAATTACAAACTATTCGTAAACCCTTTATAAGGGTAGTCTTATTGTCAGGTGGTACCCAATGTTTTTCTGATTATGGTGATCAAGCCTTGTAGAGTAAAGCGATATGGTTCCTTTACAGAAACCTCCCCCCAGGCCTCTTTAATAAATGTGTGGCTAAATAATGTTGATTAATTTCCTGTAATCATTCAACTGTTGTTAAACTCGATAGGGACCTTTGATAGGGATTGATTTAAAAAACATTTGTATTGAAGACACATAGAAAATACATTTTGTACATTGAAAGGAACCTCAGTTACAGCTGAGGCCCCGTTCACACGGAGACGACATCAGTTGAATCCGCTAACGTTCTCTATCGTATTGGCGGTTCGTCCACACGCGGCTTCGGGATACACTTTGATAACGGCTCCCAAAGTGGGTAAGTCTGGAGACGAAACGCTTGCGGCTCCGTGTGTACGCCCTATACGATCATTTCCTGAACCAATGACGCCATAGCCCCGCCTCTCCCCACCTCTCCTGCTCACCCGCGTCTTTGCTCATGTGCTTCGCCAACAACAACAACAACAATGGCGGATCAGAGGGTTGCGTTCGTGACGCTACTGACCATGATACAGATTTTAGTGCAAAATCTACAGCTCCTCGACCACAACCATCAGCAACAATAATAATATCATAACATATAATAATAATAATAATAATAATAATAATAATCGCCATCGGTCTTCTTCGCTATATGGTAATAATATGGTGTATTTTGTGGCGGAAGTACAGCGCCACTTACAGGCCCGGCATATGCACTACAGCGTCTCCAGCGGGTCGAGCGTTCTCGTTTGGACGGAAGACTTTTTTGAAATCGACTAAGGTTTGTTTTCGTCTCTGTGTGGACGGGGCCTTAGTCTCTACTATTGTACATCAATGTGATTTTCATACATTACTATCGGCGCTCTAATTCTTTTTTGAAATACCTGCAATGGCCCTGATACGTTGCCATACTTTTGTCAAACATGCAGCATTAAATCAAAAGGAACTAAACCTTGAAAAACTGAAGTTATATTGATCCTTCCTCACCTCTCCCTCTTCTTCCTCTTCTTCTTGCTCTCTCTGTCGTGGCTTCGCTCTCGGCTGCGATGGCGTCTGCTGAGCCGAGACTCCGATGAAGCCGAACGTTTTTCATCCGGCCGACGCCTGGCAGACAAAGAGGGAAAAGGAATATTTATAGATTTTTTACATGTATCACATTACACAAACGCAACCGAACATTCCCCAACATTAGACATATGGCAGATTACAAAATAGTGTTTAGATACTAGAAATCAGTTTGAAGTGCAGACCAAGAATATCATTACAATTCAGAACGCTGCTGCTCGAGTCCTCACTAACACTAAGAAAGTGGATCACATCACTCCTGTTCTGAAGTCTTTACACTGGCTTCCTGTGTGTCACAGAATAGATTTCTAAATACTGCTGCTGGTTTATAAAGCACTGAATGGTTTAGGCCCAAAATACATTTCTGACCTCCTGCTAAATTATGAACCATCCAGATCTCTCAGGTCTTCAGGGACTGGTCAGCTTTCTGTCCCCAGAGTCAGAACTAAACATGGTAAAGCAGCGTTCAGTTATTATGCTCCAAATATCTGGAACAAACTCCCAGAAACCTGCAGGTCCGCTGCAACTCTGACTACTTTTAAATCCAGGCTGAAGACTTTTCTTTTTGTCGCTGCTTTTAATTGAACTATTCATATCTTAGACTGCACTGTAACTTTTATCCATGTACTTTTTTCTTTTAATGTTAATTGACAGCACTGTAACTTGTATCCATGTATTTTTTCTTTTAATGTTTATTTTATTAGCTTTTCTTTTTAATGACTGCCATTTTCTTAATCTCTTTCATTTTTTGTAAAGCACTTTGAATTGCCTTGTGTTGAAAAGTGCTATATAAATAAACTTGCCTTGCCTTGCCTTGCCTTGCCTTACATTTGCAAATTAACACATTTAACTAAAATACAATAAAAGCACATCCACAAACAGTTACCATTCTCCAAATAGATTAACCATATCAATGGGCAGCATGTTATCCCCGCTTATAACACGACCTCGTAGTAAACAAACTACCCACTTGACTATTATTTTGTTGACTTGAAAATTATCGTTTTCCTTTCGCTGAGATAAATAACTCCGTTCTTTGGCGCATCGACAATAACTTCATTTAAAATGAACGTCAGCTCTGATTTATGTTTTCTGTGACTGTCCAAGTCTGTTCAGTTTCTTTTCGATTAAACAGTCCTTAAACACTACAGAGCCCATATTATGTTCCTCTTAGTGTTTACTTCCTGTCTGTCTTCTTCTAATGTTCCCTTAAGTGTTTACTTCCTGTCTGTCTTCTTCTACTACTACTGTTCCCTTAAGTGTTTACTTCCTGTCTGTCTTCTTCTACTACTGTTCCCTTAAGTGTTTCCTATGCCTGTCCTGTCTTCTTCTACTACTGGTCCCTTAAGTATGTTACTGTACTACCATGTCCTGTCTTCTTTCATACTGTTCTCCCTTTAAGTTGTCTGTACTTCCTGTCCTGTCTTCTTCTACTGTTCCCTTAAGTGTTTACTTCCCTGTCTGTCTTCTAATGTTATCCCTTACGTGTTAACTTCATGTCTGTCTTCTTCCTACTACTGTTCTCCTTAAGTTTTTACTTCCTGTCTTGTCTTCTAATGTTCACCTTAAGTGTTTTACTTCCTGTCTGTCTTCTTCTACTACTGTTCCCTTAAGTTGTTTACTTCCTGTCTGTCTTCTACTACTGTTCCCTTAAGATTGTTACTTCCTGTCTGTCTTCTACTACTGGTCCCTTAAAGTGTTGGTACGTTTCCCTGTCTGTCTTCTACTACTGTTCCCATTAAGTGTTTACTTCCTGTCTGTCTTCTACTACTGTTCCCTTAAGTGTTTACTTCCTGTCTGTCTTCTTCTAATGTTCCCATACAGTGTTTATACTTCCTGTCTGTCTTCTACTACTGTCCCTTAAGTGTTTACTTCCTGTCTGTCTTCTTCTACTGTTCCCTTAAGTGTTTACTTCCTGTCTGTCTTCTAATGTTCCCTTAAGTGTTTACTTCCTGTCTGTCTTCTTCTACTACTGTTCCCTTAAGTGTTTACTTCCTGTCTGTCTTCTACTACTGTTCCCTTAAGTGTTTACTTCCTGTCTGTCTTCTACTACTGTTCCCTTAAGTGTTTACTTCCTGTCTGTCTTCTACTACTGTTCCCTTAAGTGTTTACTTCCTGTCTGTCTTCTTCTAATGTTCCCATACGTGTTTACTTCCTGTCTGTCTTCTACTACTGTTCCCTTAAGTGTTTACTTCCTGTCTGTCTTCTACTACTGTTCCCTTAAGTGTTTACTTCCTGTCTGTCTTCTTCTACTGTTCCCTTAAGTGTTTACTTCCTGTCTGTCTTCTAATGGTCCCTTAAGTGTTTACTTCCTGTCTGTCTGTCTTCTACTGTTCCCTTAAGTGTTTACTTCCTGTCTGTCTTCTACTACTGTTCCCTTAAGTGTTTACTTCCTGTCTGTCTTCTTCTACTGTTCCCTTAAGTGTTTACTTCCTGTCTGTCTTCTAATGGTCCCTTAAGTGTTTACTTCCTGTCTGTCTTCTTCTACTGTTCCCTTAAGTGTTTACTTCCTGTCTGTCTTCTACTGTTCCCTTAAGTGTTTACTTCCTGTCTGTCTTCTTCTACTGTTCCCTTAAGTGTTTATTTTCTGTCTGTCTTCTTCTACTACTGTTCCCTTAAGTGTTTACTTCCTGTCTGTCTTCTAATGTTCCCTTAAGTGTTTACTTCCTGTCTGTCTTCTTCTACTGTTCCCTTAAGTGTTTACTTCCTGTCTGTCTTCTTCTACTGTTCCCTTAAGTGTTTACTTCCCGTCTGTCTTCTTCTGCAGATTAATCTGACGTCCAACGCTCTGTCTTTAACCTCTTTCCTTCTCTCCATCGATCCTCATCAGCAACAGTCATTATTTTGCTTAGCAGCGGTGTGTTATCGAGTAACACGGCTCAGTTGAATACTCGAATCTGATTGGTCAATTCGGACACTTCAGAGGTTATTAATACTCGATAACAAACCGCTGCTAACTGACTGTCCAAGTCTGTTCACAGTTTCCACCAACAAGTCCTTGAACACTGCAGAACTGCTCTGAAGTGTTTAATAATAATAATGCATTAAAGCGCTTTCCCTGGTGCTCAAAGCGCCTTACAAGCCAGTAAAGAAGAAGAGGACTCCACATTAGCCGTGTGATAATATCCGTTAGCTCTTCGGCTTCTCGGATAGATATTCTATTTTATCTAACATCGTAACAGGAGAGAGTTCTTGTTGTACCTGTGGGAGGCGGGTTCAGATCTGGCCGACTCGCCTTCCTCTTCTCTCCACTGTCTGGTGAGCTCCTGTGAGTGGACGCTGATCACCTCTCTGATCACCTGCGGGGGAAACACAGCCGTTATCAATACGTTTCTAACTCTTCATGTAGAGCAGGGGTCGGCAACCCGCGGCTCTGGCTCCCTTGAGCTTAGACAAAAATAAGTATTAGTAGGACTATTTATATTTTGTGGCACAGTTGAAAATGTTCCGTATCTTGTATTTTGAGGTGATACTGTGACACATAAATACACAACTAAACGGTTTAATTAGGTCAACTAAGATATGCGTCACATCCTGCAACGGATAACCTGACCCCCGACTCGATGAGCGAACTATGGATACATCAAAGAAAAGAAAGTATCGGAGGAACACAGAGGGTTTAATTCTGCATGGAAGAGGAAGACAGCTGACGATCTGCAGTCATAATTCAATCACCTAACTCTTTTTAAGGTGCAGCTATACGTTTTATTTATTTCAAAGCGGACCCATTTTAATTATATTCATTTTCTTCAAACGTTTAGAGGACTCTCCAAGTGCTGTGAGGATTGATTTTAAAGTAGGCCTGTGTGTATTTCTTTGTATTCTCCTTCTTTGTTTATTATTAGAGGTAAACAGGTTTCTTTAATGTAATAAATAATAAATGCAAACGAACTGTAGATTTGTCTATGATACATGGTTTAGTTAAATACTCGATTCTGATTGGTCAATTCAGAACACGTGACACGTTGTTAATCCAGTAGTGTTAGGGAAATAATTGTCCTAGACTCCTAGATATGACGTACAGGACCAACCCTGACGTCTGTTTATCTCCTTTAAGGACATAGGCTGCTTCAGCCATAATGTTATTGATCCCATTCTGTGACCGGGCAACACTAGGTCACAGATGGTCTGTTGTTGTGGGTGCACTGGGACACTTCCTTCTCTGTTGCTTATGGACTCCAAGGTATGACATCTTCGAGGCCATAAGTGACGGACGCAAGTGACTCAGTGTGCCCAACTGTTTAAGCTATCTTATCAAAACATGTTGATGACTCTGTGAAACCAGTTAAATGGGCTAACGAGAGAGAGGCGCTCCAGAATTGACGTGGCAACCCACCCGTGCAGTCAGACCGTGACTGCTGTGACTTGTGATGTGAACTCTCCGGCCGAAACTCCAAATCAACCTCCAGTGTTTGACATCAAAGCTCCTGCTCTACCATATCTCCTTCCTGAGTCGGTGACTCCCACTGCATTGCTACACAGAAGTTTCCCTTACAAGTAGTACAGACCGCTGTCAAGAACTTATTGACCGTTGTTAAGGACGCTCACATCTGCAGAAAGAAGTGGCATGGCAGGTGTTACATCTTCTTACTCGACAAAACACTTTACGCTCTCAACTTCCTCAGAAGGTCTGGCCATGTGTTGCTTTCAAGCTGTAGAATTACTGTGAACAAAAGGTGGATTTGAATCAATTTTAGCCAAAAACAACGCCTTTCAGACATCAGAGACACACAAGTACCGGCCCACAGGCACCTGGAAATGTGAGACGACAGACAGGAGGGATTATGGGTAAACTTTGTGGCGGTGCTCGTACCTCGGTGTAGGACTTCTTGGTGATGTGGACGTTCTTGGCTCGGTAAGACTGACGCCGCCTCTTGTAGTCTCTCATCTCTGCCATCAGCTCCAGGTGAGTCTTTGGTTCATTCTGATCGTCATCTAAACACAGACGCATGTTTTACTGGAAGAGCCCGCTCAGAGGACAACCCCCTCTGTTTCAGCCCTGTTTCCAAAGCGCTGATTCTCTGTCTGTGACTTCAGATGGAAACAAGGAGCCCCTCCCCACGCCCCTCTGAGAGACATTTGGTTACAAAGAACTCAATGGAGCTCTAGGAGGAGATTCAGGTGATAAGGGGGGGGGGGGGGGGGGGGGGGGTTACCTTGGTTGCTGATTGGCTAATGGTTACACAAGACAACAAATCGTTATGACATCATAAAGTAACAAACATCTGATCAGCTCATTTTCAGACAGGTTTTTATAGAAATGGATCAAAAAGAGAGAAAATCTTTGTTCCTGAAACTTTCAGAGTCTCTTTCCACAGAGGGGACACATGTTGATGTAGAAGAGACATGAAGAAGAGGGGACACATGTTGATGTAGAAGAGACATGAAGAAGAGGGGACACATGTTGATGAAGAAGAGACATGAAGAAGAGGGGACACATGTTGATGAAGAAGAGGACATGAAGAAGAGGGGACACATGTTGATGTAGAAGAGACATGAAGAAGAGGGGACACATGTTGATGAAGAAGAGACATGAAGAAGAGGGGACACATGTTGATGTAGAAGAGACATGAAGAAGAGGGGACACATGTTGATGTAGAAGAGACATGAAGAAGAGGGGACACATGTTGATGTAGAAGAGACATGAAGAAGAGGGGACACATGTTGATGTAGAAGAGACATGAAGAAGAGGGGACACATGTTGATGTAGAAGAGACATGAAGAAGAGGGGACACATGGTGATGTAGAAGAGACATGAAGAAGAGGGGACACATGTTGATGTAGAAGAGACATGAAGAAGAGGGGACACATGTTGATGTAGGATTGACATGAAGAAGAGGGGACACATGTTGATGTAGAAGAGACATGAAGAAGAAGGGACACATGTTGATGTAGAAGAGACATGAAGAAGAGGGGACACATGTTGATGTAGAAGAGACATGAAGAAGAGGGGACACATGTTGATGTAGAAGAGAGACATGAAGAAGAGGGGACACATGTTGATGTAGAAGAGACATGAAGAAGAGGGGACACATGTTGATGTAGAAGAGACATGAAGAAGAGGGGACACATGTTGATGTAGAAGAGACATGAAGAAGAGGGGACACATGTTGATGTAGAAGAGACATGAAGAAGAGGGGACACATGTTGATGTAGAAGAGACACGAAGAAGAGGGGACACATGTTGATATAGAAGAGACACGAAGAAGAGGGGACACATGTTGATGTAGGAGAGACACGAAGAAGAGGGGACACATGTTGATATAGAAGAGACATGAAGAAGAGGGGACACATGTTGATGTAGAAGAGACATGAAGAAGAGGGGACACATGTTGATATAGAAGAGACATGAAGAAGAGGGGACACATGTTGATGTAGAAGAGACATGGAGAAGAGGGGACACATGTTGATGTAGAAGAGACATGGAGAAGAGGGGGACACATGTTGATGTAGAAGAGACATGAAGAAGAGGGGACACATGTTGATGTAGAAGAGACATGAAGAAGAGGGGACACATGTTGATGTAGAAGAGACATGAAGAAGAGGGGACACATGTTGATGTAGAAGAGACATGAAGAAGAGGGGACACATGTTGATGTAGAAGAGACATGAAGAAGAGGGGACACATGTTGATGTAGAAGAGACATGAAGAAGAGGGGACACATGTTGATGTAGAAGAGACATGAAGAAGAGGGGACACATGTTGATGTAGAAGAGACATGAAGAAGAGGGGACACATGTTGATGTAGAAGAGACATGAAGAAGAGGGGGACACATGTTGATGTAGAAGAGACATGAAGAAGAGGGGGACACATGTTGATGTAGAAGAGACATGAAGAAGAGGGGACACATGTTGATGTAGGAGAGACATGAAGAAGAGGGGACACATGTTGATGTAGAAGAGACGTGAAGAAGAGGGGGACACATGTTGATGTAGAAGAGACAGTGAAGAAGAGGGGACACATGTTGATGTAGAAGAGACATGGAGAAGAGGGGACACATGTTGATGTAGAAGAGACATGGAGAAGAGGGGACACATGTTGATGTAGAAGAGACATGGAGAAGAGGGGACACATGTTGATGTAGAAGAGACATGAAGAAGAGGGGACACATGTTGATGTAGAAGAGACATGAAGAAGAGGGGACACATGTTGATGTAGAAGAGACATGAAGAAGAGGGGACACATGTTGATGTAGAAGAGACACGAAGAAGAGGGGACACATGTTGATGTAGAAGAGACACGAAGAAGAGGGGACACATGTTGATGTAGAAGAGACACGAAGAAGAGGGGACACATGTTGATGTAGAAGAGACACGAAGAAGAGGGACACATGTTGATGTAGAAGAGACACGAAGAAGAGGGGACACATGTTGATGTAGAAGACACATGAAGAAGAGGGGACACATGTTGATGTAGAAGAGACATGAAGAAGAGGGGACACATGTTGATGTAGAAGAGACATGAAGAAGAGGGGACACATGTTGATGTAGAAGAGACATGAAGAAGAGGGGGACACATGTTGATGTAGAAGAGACATGAAGAAGAGGGGACACATGTTGATGTAGAAGAGACATGAAGAAGAGGGGACACATGTTGATGTAGAAGAGACATGAAGAAGAGGGGACACATGTTGATGTAGAAGAGACATGAAGAAGAGGGGACACATGTTGATGTAGAAGAGACATGAAGAAGAGGGGACACATGGTGATGTAGAAGAGACATGAAGAAGAGGGGGACACATGTTGATGAAGAAGAGACATGAAGAAGAGGGGACACATGTTGATGTAGAAGAGACATGTAGAAGAGGGGACACATGTTGATGTAGAAGAGACATGAAGAAGAGGGGACACATGTTGATGTAGAAGAGACATGAAGAAGAGGGGACACATGTTGATGTAGAGACATGAAGAAGAGGGGACACACGTTGATGTAGAAGAGACATGAAGAAGAGGGGACACACGTTGATGTAGAAGAGACATGAAGAAGAGGGGACACATGTTGATGTAGAGAGACATGAAGAAGAGGGGACACATGTTGATGTAGAAGAGACATGAAGAAGAGGGGACACATGTTGATGTAGAAGAGTCATGAAGAAGAGGGGACACATGTTGATGTAGAAGAGACATGAAGAAGGGGGGGACACATGTTGATGTAGAAGAGACATGAAGAAGAGGGGACACATGTTTGATGTAGAAGAGACATGAAGAAGAGGGGACACATGGTGATGTAGAAAGAGACATGAAGAAGAGGGGGACACATGTTGATGTAGAAGAGACATGAAGAAGAGGGGACACGTGTTGATGTAGAAGAGACATGAAGAAGAGGGGACACATGTTGATGTAGAAGAGACATGAAGAAGAGGGGACACATGTTGATGTAGAGAGACATGAAGAAGAGGGGACACATGTTGATGTAGAAGAGACATGAAGAAGAGGGGACACATGTTGATGTAGAAGAGACATGAAGAAGAGGGGACACATGTTGATGTAGAAGAGACATGAAGAAGAGGGGACACATGTTGATGTAGAGAGACATGAAGAAGAGGGGACACATGTTGATGTAGAAGAGACATGAAGAAGAGGGGACACATGTTGATGTAGAAGAGACATGAAGAAGAGGGGACACATGTTGATGTAGAAGAGACATGGAGAAGAGGGGACACATGTTGATGTAGAAGAGACATGAAGAAGAGGGGACACATGTTGATGTAGAGAGACATGGAGAAGAGGGGACACATGGTGATGTAGAAGAGACATGAAGAAGAGGGGACACATGTTGATGTAGAAGAGACATGAAGAAGAGGGGACACATGTTGATGTAGAAGAGACATGGAGAAGAGGGGACACATGTTGATGTAGAGGACACATGAAGAAGAGGGACACATGTTGATGTAGAAGAGACATGGAGAAGAGGGGACACATGTTGATGTAGAAGAGACATGAAGAAGAGGGGACACATGTTGATGTAGAAGAGACATGAAGAAGAGGGGACACATGTTGATGTAGAAGAGACATGGAGAAGAGGGGACACATGTTGATGTAGAGGACACATGAAGAAGAGGGGACACATGTTGATGTAGAAGAGACATGGAGAAGAGGGGACACATGTTGATGTAGAAGAGACATGAAGAAGAGGGGACACATGTTGATGTAGAAGAGACATGAAGAAGAGGGGACACATGTTGATGTAGAAGAGACATGAAGAAGAGGGGACACATGGTGATGTAGAAGAGACATGAAGAAGAGGGGACACATGTTGATGAAGAAGAGACATGAAGAAGAGGGGACACATGTTGATGTAGAAGAGACATGTAGAAGAGGGGACACATGTTGATGTAGAAGAGACATGAAGAAGAGGGGACACATGTTGATGTAGAAGAGACATGAAGAAGAGGGGACACATGTTGATGTAGAGACATGAAGAAGAGGGGACACACGTTGATGTAGAAGAGACATGAAGAAGAGGGGACACATGTTGATGTAGAAGAGACATGAAGAAGAGGGGACACATGTTGATGTAGAGAGACATGAAGAAGAGGGGACACATGTTGATGTAGAAGAGACATGAAGAAGAGGGGACACATGTTGATGTAGAAGAGTCATGAAGAAGAGGGGACACATGTTGATGTAGAAGAGACATGAAGAAGAGGGGACACATGTTGATGTAGAAGAGACATGAAGAAGAGGGGACACATGTTGATGTAGAAGAGACATGAAGAAGAGGGGACACATGTTGATGTAGAAGAGACATGAAGAAGAGGGGACACATGTTGATGTAGAGAGACATGAAGAAGAGGGGACACATGTTGATGTAGAAGAGTCATGAAGAAGAGGGACACATGTTGATTAGAAGAGACAGAAGAGAGGGACACATGTTGATGTAGAAGAGTCATGAAGAAGAGGGGACACATGTTGATGTAGAAGAGACATGAAGAAGAGGGGACACATGTTGATGTAGAAGAGACATGAAGAAGAGGGGACACAGTGTTGATGTAGAAAGAGACATGAAGAAGAGGGGACACGTGTTGATGTAGAAGAGACATGAAGAAGAGGGGACACAGTGTTGATGTAGAAGAGACATGAAGAAGAGGGGGACACATGTTGATGTAGAAGAGACATGAAGAAGAGGGGACACATGTTGATTGTAGAAGAGACATGAAGAAGAGGGGACACATGTTGATGTAGAAGAGACATGAAGAAGAGGGGACACATGTTGATGTAGAAGAGACATGAAGAAGAGGGGACACATGTTGATGTAGAAGAGACATGAAGAAGAGGGGACACATGTTGATGTAGAAGGAGACATGAAGAAGAGGGGACACATGTTGATGTAGAGGAGACATGAAGAAGAGGGGACACATGTTGAATGTAGAGGAGACATACAGAGAGGGGACACATGTTATGTAGAAGAGACATGAAGAAGAGGGGACACATGTTGATGTAGAGAGACATGAAGAAGAGGGGACACATGTTGATGTAGAAGAGACCATGAAGAAGAGGGGACACATGTTGATGTAGGAGAGACATGAAGAAGAGGGGACACATGTTGATGTAGAAAGAGACATGGAGAAGAGGGGACACATGTTGATGTAGAAGAGACATGAAGAAGAGGGGACACATGTTGATGTAGAGAGACATGAAGAAGAGGGGACACATGTTGATGTAGAAGAGACATGAAGAAGAGGGGACACATGTTGATGTAGAAGAGACATGGAGAAGAGGGGACACGTGTTGATGTAGAAGAGACATGAAGAAGAGGGGACACATGTTGATGTAGAAGAGACATGAAGAAGAGGGGACACATGGTGATGTAGAAGAGACATGAAGAAGAGGGGACACATGTTGATGTAGAAGAGACATGAAGAAGAGGGGACACATGTTGATGTAGAAGAGACATGGAGAAGAGAGGACACATGTTGATGTAGAAGAGACATGGAGTCCTACCCTTCTGGAGTTTGGACACCAGGTCTACGTAGAGGTCCTCGTTGTTGGAGGCGTCTTCCTTCTGCTGGCTCAGCACCACGTGATCGTACAGAGCCAGCCTGTCGGCCACCGTGAGGTCGCACACCGCACGCTTGTGATTCTGAGGAACGTCCACAGGCTGCCCGGAGTACTGACCTGTGGGGGGGGGGGGGGGGGTACTCAGATATTATACTCAAGTAAAAGTAGAAGTACTCAGATCTTGTACTTGAGTAAAAGTAGAAGTACTCAGGTATTGTACTTGAGTAAAAGTAGAAGTACTCAGATCTTGTTCTTGAGTAAAAGTAGAAGTACCAGAGTGTAGGAATACTCTGTTACAAGTACATATTTTGTACACAAAACTAAGTACAATAATGCTTACTGACAAATCTAAATGTAAGAAGACTTTCCCCAACACAGGAAAGGAAAAGTGTGTGTGTGTGTGTGTGTGTGTGTGTGTGTGTGTGTGTGTGTGTGTGTGTGTGTGTGTGTGTGTGTGTGTGTGTGTGTGTGTGTGTGTGTGTGTGTGTGTGTGTGTGTGTGTGTGTGTGTGTGTGTGTGTGTGTGTGTGTGTGTGTGTGTGTGTGTGTGTGCAGATGAAAGGACATGTTAAAGGGGACTACGTTAAATCAGGAGCTTCCTATTGGATATGAATACTATTTGGGGATGGAGGAAGTTGTAGGTTGTAAATAATGTCTTATTTTATAAAGGTGGTTAAAGGAACCGAACAGCTGAGTAACTAGTTCTCAGATAATCCTCTGGCGACATCTTGTGGTTCGTCGAGTGTGTAACTTTATAAAGCTTCCTGGTATTATTACTCGATGTTATCTATGCTGACGGTTTTAAATAACTCTCACACCTTGCCAGAAGACTCCTTCCATCCTCATGAGCGGAGCAGCAGACCTGGCCTGCAGGATCACCTGCTGCTGGGAAGATTTGTCTGCATGGAGGACATGACATCATGAGAAGTGAGAAGTCAGTTTTTTGTGTTATATATTCAACCTCCATCTTTAAATACACATGATTTAACATCACATTGCTCCTTTACCTGAACCTCAGATACATGTGTCTTAAAAGAGCATGGTGGAGGTAAGTGGTTCATTAACGAATGGTTCAAAGGTTTGAATGTCATACACACAGCCTCAGTGAAGTTGTGCAATGAAAAAGTGGGATCAAAGGTCCCTCAAACAATGCAATATAAATATATAGAACACGTATAAAAAATTAAAAAATAGTGCAAGCTCAGGAGTTTAGCAGTCTCAAGGCCTCAGATTGCAGACGTTCAGACTTGTTTTCTTGCCTTTTTTATTCGTAAAACACTCTTATTAATAGCAATTAAAATAAAGAAAGAAATCACATAAAATCTTTCAAAATAAAATCCTAAAATATTTCAAAATAAAATCTTAAAATATTTCAAAATAAAATCCTAAAATATTTCAAAATAAAAGCATCAAATCTTCACTTTTGAGAAACTGAAATGTTTCCTAACAATAAGTAAACACACACACAGGTAAAGACTCACCCATGGTGAAGCTTCTGACCGTGGAGTTCTCATAACACACAGAAGGGTCCAACATCTCCGCCTGCAAGAGAGAACCTTTTATTGCTCTCCTTCAGATTAACAGCTGAACATATGTTTATCTTATTCTATTGACGTGTGTATCGACTCCTGCTTTCACTCGGCCGCTTACAACATTCTCTGCTACATTTAGCTTATTGTATTTGATTTATTTTGACATGTACAGGTGCATCTAAAAAAAATAGAATATCGTGGAAAAGTGAATTAATTCAATTCAAAAAGTGAAACTCATATTATATGGATTCATTACACAAAGTCTTTTTTATTGGTCTGATTTTCTGAGATACTGATTTGGGCGTTTTCTTTAGCTGTAAGCCGTAATCATCAAGATTAAAACAAATAAAGCCTTGAAATATTTCACTTTGTGTAATGATCCATAAAGTATATGAGTTTCACTTTTTGAATTGAATTAATGCAATAAATTAACTTTTCCACGGTATTCTAATTTATTGAGATCTGTATATAGTTTATACTCACTTTTACTTGCACATTGATCTCGCAACATAATCTGCTAGGGATGTAACGATATATCGAATATCGCGGTAAATAAATGTCTCAATACCGTCGTGAGACTGACAAAATCTACCGCCATTATTAATTTTGTTTTAAACCTGTATTGAACCAGATGGTCCCATTGAGATCATCAATCTCTTTTTCAAGGGAGACCTGTCCAGCATGGCAGCAAGTAGGTTACAACATGAACATACAACAACAGATAACACAAAAGGACATGGTATTTACAGGGCTACATGTACACACCTAGAGACATGGACAAGTACCAACAGTATATTTATATCTCGCCCTGTCAATAAGCCTCACCTTCAAACTGTATTGTTTTTGAAGTGGTGGAGAGACAATGCACAGTTTGACCCACTGCTGTCACCCATGGCCAAAGCATACCTCTCTGTCCCAGCAACATCAGTACCAAGCAAGAGAGTTGTTTCCACAGCAGGGGATTTTGTAAACGCCCAAACATCCCAGCTTCTACCTGGAAATGTGGACATGCTCATATTCCTAAAAGATCACCTTGATGTGTGAGTGAGTGAGTTAGAGTTGAGTTACTTGAAAAACTAAAGTAAAACTTGATTTATTCTATTGCAGGGTCTGATTACTATATTGTTGACACTTTAAAATAATACTATCTACTAAAATGCTGTACAAATCAGATTTATTATTTAATAAAGAAAAAAAAAATCACTTTTTTTTTCTTTATTTTTCAATATCGCGATAAATATCGTACCGTCTCGACCATTTTTTGTATCGTTACATCCCTATAATCTGCACTATAGTATTCTACTCTATTCCACTCAGCTTCTTCTTGCACAACTTTTACTGTTTTTGTGTTTTATTGTTTTATGTATTTTTATTGAAGATTGTATTGCTATATATGACAATAAAGCCTTTGAATCTTGAATTATGTTCTCTGGGAAATTGCTGTGTGTGTGTGGCAGATAAAGAATATGATTGATGATACTACAGGTACTCAGGCAACATAACTATCTAGAGCCAAGCTCGTCACACACACACACACACACACACACACACACACACACACACACACACACACACACACACACACACACACACACACACACACACACACACACACACACACACACACACACACACACACACACAACACACACACACACACACACACACACACACACACACACACACACACACACACACACACACACACACACACACACACACACACACACACACACACACACACACATCACACACACACACACACACACACACACACACACACACACACACACACACACACACACACACACACACACACACACACACACACACACACACACACACACACACACACACACACACACACACACACACACACACACACACACACACACACACACACACACACACACGTTACCTCTTCCTCTGCGGAGTAGCCCATCTTCCGGAGGCTGCAGGAGGCTTTGTGTTTCTCCAGGCTCCTCGCTGGGACTCTGTGGTGGGAGTCGTACGGGCACTGCTCCATCAGCTCCTGAGAGGACACCAACATAATGAAACTAATTCAACTTAAATTGACTTTCAGAAGACACACTTACACACCCCTTGCTCTGTGTTTCAGACGTTTCACCAGAGGTGGGGAAAGTACTCAGATCTTGTACTTGAGGGGGGGGGGGGGGGTACTCAGATATTATACTCAAGTAAAAGTACTCAGATCTTGTACTTGAGTAAGAGTAAAAGTACTCAGATCTTGTACTTGAGTAAAAGTAAAAGTACTCAGATCTTGTACTTGAGTAAAAGTAGAAATACTCAGATCTTGTTCTTGAGTCAAAGTAGAAGTACTCAGATCCTGTACTTGAGTAAAAGTAGAAGTACTCAGATCTTGTTCTTGAGTCAAAGTAGAAGTACTCAGATCTTGTACTTGAGTCAAAGTAGAAGTACTCAGATCTTGTACTTGAGTAAAAGTAGAAGTACTCAGATCCTGTACTTGAGTCAAAGTAGAAGTACTCAGATCTTGTACTCGAGTAAAAGTAGAAGTACTCAGATCCTGTACTTGAGTCAAAGTAGAAGTACTCAGATCGTGTACTTGAGTAAAAGTAGAAGTACTCAGATCTTGTACTTGAGTCAAAGTAGAAGTACTCAGATCTTGTTCTTGAGTCAAAGTAGAAGTACTCAGATCTTGTTCTTGAGTCAAAGTAGAAGTACTCAGATCTTGTACTTGAGTAGAAGTAGAAGTACCAGAGTGTAGGAATACTCTGTTACAGTAAAAGTCCTACATTCAAAATGTTCCTCAAGTGAAAGTAGAAAAGTATTCTCATCAAATATAGTGAGAGTAGCGACAGTAAAAGTAGTCGTTGTGCAGATTGGTCCATTTCAGAATAATATATATGATATGTTTTATAATGATTGATCATGAAAGTGTTCTCAAAGCTGGTGAAGGTGCAGCTAGTCTGAAGTACTTTGTATACTGCAGGGTAGCTGGTGGATTTACTCCAGGTGGAACTAAAGTCTGATTTAACACTTGATTATATTTCACATCATTCATCCACATCTGTGAAGTAACTAAAGGGATTAAATACATGTAGTGGAGTAAAAGTACACCATGTACCTCTGAACTGTAGAGGAGTAGAAGTAGAAAGTAGCATAACATGGAAATACAAGTGACTCAAAATGGTACTTAAGTACAGTTCTTGGGTACATGTACTTAGTTACTTCCCGTATCTTCATTACACTAGCTATAGCATATTGTACCTGTTTGTAGTCCAGCGACCATCCCAGCCTCTCTAATATATGGTTCAGTTTGTCTTTACAGTTCTCTGTGAACTCCGTCAGCTCCCGCAGCCGCTCCTGTCGCTCCTCCATAGTTGTGGTTTCTACAGACTCCGACATGTTGAGGTTTTTAGTCCAAATAGATGAGAATTAGCCCCAAAATCATCGGTGTTTTGTTTTTGCCTCACTCGCGGCAGCCATGTTCTGCGTGACAATATGACGAGTTCCGGGCGGGGCGTTGGAGGGAAGAGAGAAGCGATGCATGCTGGTACATGAAGTCCTTTTCTTGTTAGTTCACGTTTCAAAGGTTCAAAGGTTTTAATGTCACATTCGCAGCTGCAGTGACCATAGATTTAAAAAAAAGAGTGCAAGCTCAGGAGATAGCATTATTATGACCTTTGGGATATATATAATTATATATTTACTATATTTTTATAAATTATATAATGATAATATGTTGTATTATATTTTTTATACCACTATTTATGTTATTACCAATCGGGTTTACACAAATGAAGAATTAGCTTTTTATGTAAATGTTGCATACAGAGACACAGAAGGAAGAATACGCTTTTTCTTTTAAGAAAGGATCAAATCATTTAACTTTTATAAACTATTTGTCAAGACAAACAAATGTGACAAAAAATATGACAAATACTATATTAAAATTGTTTTTTCTATATATATATATATATATATTAAAATATATAAATTCAATGTATTATATTATTATATTATATTGTGTTATATGTTATTATTTTTTATTATGATTTTATATATTATATCACATTATGTTTCATCTCATATTTTCATTTCAACAATAAAACGGTCATACATTTTTTTTGGCTTTTTGACAATTAGGGTTAGGTCAATTGACATGCTCAGAGCAGCAGACTTCAGATAATGGTTAATGGTCCAGCCTTCAACATGTCTATGTGCCATTAGTGAGTTTTCCTCAAAAGCTGTTGCCATGGCAACGCATCCCTCGCCTTAAAACACGATATTGCTATAACTCCTATGAAAATTGTGCTCAAACTTCACATGTGTGCTAACAGTCCAGCCGTGAAGACATCTATTTCACAGTATTGAGATTTCTTCAAATGCCGTTGCCTTGGCAACACAATGCTCAATATGAAACACGGTTTTCTCACAACTTCAGTTCAAATGCTCGAAATGGCCCAAAACTTCACAGGTTTGGTAACGATGCAGCCATCAACACGTCTAAGTGTATTATGGGGTGTCATCACATGTCGTTGCCATGGCGACAGATCATTCCCACCAAGTTAGTTCAAAAGTTTGCAGTTCAAATATTCTGCTGCTTTTCCAGGCCTTTTTACTTTCTTTTCTTCTCTCATCACACATTCAAGCCCCCAGTGTTCATGTATCATTTCAATCTAAATTCTTCACTTTCTTCTTACACATTACATTTCAGCATAGCAATTCAGCGTCAGCTTTTCAGCATAAAGCATTCCCACTAGCAATTTCTTCAGGAATTGCATTCTCTAGTCTCTTTTACTGTCCTCTTTTTCTAAGTGCATATCAGCGTTTAGACATGATGCGCTGATGCTTTGTTGTCACTCTTCAGTGGGCGGGGCCGTCCTTTTGGGCAGGATGTGACGTAGTGCTGCTTGCCCTGAACATGCTCCAAAACTACTTTTTGATTAAAATAAAACAGGAACATGTATGTGTAAACGCAGATGATGGATTGCCCCTGTGTATTCAAATGTAAACAGAAAGCAATCATCAATATAGAGTTGTGGATTCAAAATGTCAGTAGAGGAAAATCATAATATGTGCTGGTCACTAAAATGAAATATAAGGTCATTGCCAGGGGTTATCACCACAAACCAAGTCCATGGATCGAATAATCCTATTTAAATATATTGGTTGGTTGATGTACAGGAGAAATTATATTATATATATACAGTATATATATATATATATAATATTGACATTAAATGTGCTTTATTTTGTAAGGGTTTTCGTTTGTTTTGAATGGTAAGCTTTCAAAAACACATTACACATATACCGGGCTTTGATGAGGATGGATTATGATTACATGGTTTATTAAGCAGCAGTTAAAAGTACTACAAAAAAAACTGGACAGAATACAATGCAGAACAATGAGATTACTGTGGGCTCCCTTACAACTATTTGGTATGCCAGAAACAGATTAAGTCATTAAGCAAAACCTACAAGTATGCCCTACTCCTGCATATTGCAGTATGGAAGCCAGCATATGTATATGGATATTCTGACCCACAATACTTTATGGAGCAAGAGGGCAAAGGTAAATATGCAATGTTGTGATGAAGTAGTGCAGTGGTGCCCTCTGGACCTGCAGTGCAGCAACACAAATTGCATAATGCATAATACCAATTGAGATTTAATACAAAATCTTACATTGAAATAAATAGTTAAGTTCTTTATAACTACGCATAAAGATACAAAAGAGAAAAAATGGCATAATTTAAAACAAACAAGCTATTGTCAGAGTCAGTTATAAAGAATATAAGGAGGGCTTACTATTTCCTGCAGTTGATACAATGAATGATATTTAACAATAAAGAATGACAATATTACTCATATCAGACAAAGATATGTTTGAAAATGACTTAAATATATATTTATATTTATCGTAATTCAAATATGAACGTCAAAAGTCGGAATATTATCTTATTTGCTAAACGTTCTTGTTTAGTAATATGCATGTGTTGTATTATTCTACTACGTCTATTTATTAATGTTCAGCAATAACCACGTTTTCCCAGTACATCCATGGGACTGACGTTCTTAGGTGGGGTGATTCCGCTTTGAACAGGAATTGTGTTAGCCAGTATTCTTGTTTTCCATGTGCTCAATAAAGTTTCTTTAAAAAAAGAATTCAACCAATCAGAAGTGGACCCACTTGTGTTTTCATCCAATCAGATTCCGCAGCAATTGTGCCGCGTAAGATATATAAATAGCCCCGCCTAGAAGAAATACACCTGTTACTTCTTACCCTGGAGGCCTGGACTCATAAAAGCTCTGTTGTGAGAGATAACTTTGCCTTTTCCTCTTCTTTATCTTCACATCTTCAGAAAAATGGTGAGTACAGTTTTTCTCCACTTAGAGGATGTGTATTTAACCAAAGGCAGCGCTCTGAACGTGTGTCATCATGCGAAAATGTAACCAGCTTAAAGTTTTTTAAGCGCTTACTCTCGACGCATTATTTTGATAGTGAAACTAAGATGTTGCGGTATAAGCTGGTAAATCAAGCTTCGTCATTAATAAGTCGTTTTAACTGGTGTTGGTAAATTAAGTGTAACTCGACGGCACAGTCAAGATGTTGAAGTGACTCATTTACAATAGGCGCGAATTGTTGGAAATATACTTCCTGTCTCATTAGTGGCCGGGTTTAATGGTTTCATATTTAAAACATGATATTAACACAGATAACACATTTGTTTCCAAATTTCAGTGAACCAGGACGTTTTTCAAACGTACGTTTGAAATGATTACTGGCTGCAGATATTTAAATAAAATGGACGCTCTGTCTCCCCAAATCTCGCTAGTTATTTTTCCTGCGACGGATTTTTGTCGACCTCGGTTTAGTGTCTTTACATTACATTGCATTTAGCTGACGCTTTTATCCAAAGCGACTTACAATAAGTGCATTCGACCAACAAGATACAAACTAAAAGAAAACTGAATCATATAAGTACATCAGGTTTCATAGAGCCAAAACATTTCAAGTGCTACTCAACTGGCTTTAGGTAAGCCAGTCCTTTATTAGTATATAAGTGCTTTGTTAGTAATTGTATTGCTCGAAGTGGAGTCGAAAGAGATGAGTTTTGAGTCTGAGTCGGAAGATGTGTAAGCTTTCTGCTGCCCTCATGTCAATGGGGAGCTCATTCCACCATCTTGGAGCCAGGATAGCAAACCCACGTGTTTTCTCTAATGTCTTCACATTAGAGAGATGAGAGACATGGTTCCAATTTTTACTTTATTTAGGTCGAATTAGATAATAATTATTATGTGTTTACGTTCTGGCCTGCCACGCCACTAGTCTCCTAAAGGGGTTGCAGAAAATGTAAATGCGGCTCTTTTAATTGAACGACGGGAGCCGGCTCGCGCCCGCGAACGAGCCGGGGTTTTTTTTCTTTTTGCTGAGGGATCTAGATCGGCATGAAGGCACATTATGCAATGTGTACATTATCCCGCTTATTACATTGCCACATTCTCAACAAATTAACGACATGACTCCCAATATTAATTTAAATGCTTTTATGGATTTAGAAAATTATTTTATTGATTTAAAAAATAGTTGTATTTAAATTGACATGCTCTCGCTAAGAAAAATAGTCCGTTGTTACTGTTTGAACTAACGTAGCAACGGCAGGAACTGCTTCGAGAGTGTTTTTGAGGAGCTTTTTGATTACAGTTTTGAAAACATCTTTTCTTGCTTTAAAAGTAGCACAATTCATTATGTCAAACCTTGGAAAGTATCTAGATATCCCTGCCCTGATGCCAAAGTAACTGCACACTGAATATGTGTCGCCGTTTGATGTCTATGTCTGGACCGCTGCATAAAAAGGAGGGTTTCTGCCCCATTACTTCTCTTCTTACTTCTATAAGAATAAAACACGGAGGAGGGAGATCACTTTTTCTCCCCCTCTTCTGAGAGCCCAGCAGCTGATCTCAGAGCACACTGCCCTCTCCTGCAGGGGGGCGTGGTCTGCTGCAGCTCACAGAATCATATATATACTTTATATAGATATGGCCCTACAATATATTGTTCAAATATAGCATGATAGGTCCACTTTAAGTAATACAAGACAGAATGATGATGATGATCTCCGCGCTGGCTCCGTGCATGCATGCAGTGACATGTAATATCCAAGGATTAGAGACGGTTGGATGCTGCTGTTTTGAGCATTGCAATATATTTATTTTCACTATGTTATTTATTTATGATTATCCTTAGGCTCAGCAAAGATGTTATGTCAGCTGTTGCTGTCTTTTTTTCTATAGCTAATAGTTACTGAAATAGAGCCCTGCTGTTTTGTCAGGGCCTTTTCTTTAAATATAATTTTAAAATGTCGATACAGTAGCCCCCTTTTTTAAAATAGTTTTATAGGTGTTGCTATCTGTTTTGTGTAGCGTGGTTCTACAAGCAAGTCAGTGCATTCATTGGGTGGTATCAGAGAGTTACACAGGTCTG